CCCGCCCGGCCCCCGGCCGCGCTTGCCGCACGGGGCGGGCTGCGGCGGGGTGTCGTGCCGACAAGGCCACGGCGAAGGGCGGGAGGGGGCCGGCCTGTCACCCTCCGGTGTAAATACTGTGTCTTTCTCTGCCCGCCGCTTTCGGCCGGGAGCAGCTGACGAAGCTTCCCCCCTCACCCCCAGCCCCGCGAGCTTCCTTCGCTGCCATTGTTACAGCCTTTGCTCGCATTGCTCTTTTTGCCATGATCGTTAAGCTGGACTGCGTCTAGATGGGACGTGGTGCTTGGGCATTTTTCACGGGATCTGGCAATCCCTCTGCATTCAGTTCCGCTTGATTTCCAGAGAAGCTTGATTTCCGGAGAAGCTAACAGAGCAAGTCTTTGGCTGCTGCCTCTAGTCGCTCGGGAAAATGCCTGTTGCTATGTCTGATCATCTTCCGTAAGCACTTTTCAATGCATTTTAGAAGTGAATTTGATTGTTTTCATCTCAGATGTGGAATAGGGTCATGGTCTATTAAGGAGAGAGAGGAGCTATGGAGCAGGTTGGACAGCAGACCAGAGGAACGAAGATCTAGTCTGTAGTCTAGACCCATACTGGACTATGGGTCCAACTTCAGGAGTTTAACTAAAATACATCAAAAAACACTTTGCCATACAAAAGTCAGCAGCTGACTTGGGTACTTAGTAAAAAATAAATAAACTATAAATCATACAAGCATACACCTGCTGGCTTCACTGGACGCCCTTTGCTTTTGCATTGGAAGGAGGAGTAAACAACAGATCCCTACTGATTTCTCCATGCTACTCATGAGTCTTGTTTTCGCAAGTTGCTTATCCCATACAGAACATTTTTAATTGGTTTTGGTCCTTGAATGCTTAAAACAAAAAAAATCCTAAAACTTCCAGTATAGCTAGCAAAGATAGAGATACAGTGGGTGAAATCCTGTCCCTATTGGCAAAGTAGAACTTGAGCAAAGTCCAGATTTTGCTTTTTGGTTTGCTTTGTTTTGCCCAGGAAAATTCAATCTTCCATATAACTTCTTAATTTCTTTAACTCAGATTTTAACTTAGTTAATTTATTACATTCCTTATTTAAACTCTTAATGCCAACATTGCTAAACACTTGTCTTTTTTTTTTGGAAAGTGTGTGCAATAAAATAAAATACTATTTCATCCAATATATCCAACATCCAGAAAAAAAACCTTATTGTCAGGTAAAGGGAATAACCTGAGAAATGAATATCATTTTTGCTGTGAGACAAATTTTAGGTTGGAAGGCTAAATTTGCCTCGGCCTTAATCCATTGTAACATGCAGCAATAGGTTGCATGTCAGCGAGGGCTGAGTTAAACTAATGTTTAGTGTGCTCTCCTTCCTATAATGCACTCTCCAGGTTAATGACATGCATCAATTTTGTTAATATCTGAGAATGAGATGGTGCTCTCTATGCAGTCCAGAAGAAAAGGAAAAAAATTGCCTTTTTGGAGGTGGAGAGGGGGAGAAATTATTTTGCAGTCATTGTGACTGCAGGGAACGAGCTTATCACTACAGTGACAACAGGAAAGGAGAAGGTCAGGATGTCAGACTTCCAAGACTGTGAAATATGTTGAGAAACAAAGTACCAGAGTGATGGTGGCACAACAATTTATGTATGCAGGACAAATATGATGTGATTTAAACTCTGTCTAATGATGCTATGACCAAGCAGAAACGTCATGAGAACTCCGTTTCTATGCTCCTGAGTTGCTAGTGGAAATATTAGAATACCAAAGCAGCTAGAGTTAACAAAACCCAATTAAAGCTCAGCTTTCAGATAATTTTCAATATTTATAGACTGACTAAGAAATGCACATTCCTCACCTGACCTTTTCTGATGGATAAGAAGCCCAGAAGCTTCTTTAACATGCTTTAATTTCTGTCACATGCAAAAGGCATTAAATTCCATATTGCTCTTAAAATCTTACCCTGTCTCTTCTCACAGACATTTCTATCTCCATTAGTATCCACTGCTCACTACTGGGTTTATCGTTACTGAAAACTCCCAGTGATTGTTTTGCTTCAAAAATAAATCCAGCTGGATAATATTTTGAATGTATCCAAATATTTGGATCTTTCTGGAGTAAAAGGTCCTAGAACTGGCAAAACCCCCTTCACTACTTTACACAGGTAGACAACAGATGTCTAAATGCGGTATTTCTCAAATTTTGTAAAACTAAAGAAATAAATACATATGAATATTTGCATCAAAAATATTTATTTCAAAAAACAAATTTTTGAATGAAAAATCTTTTCATCAAAATAACCAAATCTTTAGCTTGATAACCATATTTAACCAATCTTTAGCTTGATAACTGTATTCTCCGGCAAGAATTAGTTAACACTTTCTACCTATCCTTAGAATTTCAAATCTTAGATAAGCTCTGATTGTATCACTTGTGCCTCAAAGATATTCTATTTACTCAACAAAAATCCGGCCAGAGAAAAACCCAGAATCATTTGTCAATGAATGTCTCATATTTTATTTATATTCTCCACACAAAAAGTACTGTTAAGTTAAGGTTATGGCTAAGAGAAATTCCTAGAAATGTTGGAACATTTTAATTTTTGGGATCTAAGTGAAAATAGGAAAAGAGAACAAAGAGAACAAAAGAGAAATTTTTCTCTTACACAAAAGAAAATTAGGGCCAGAACCTCCATTTCTAACATGTCACAGGAGACCTGCAGGAGTCAAAAACTACTGATGACCTTTAGTGGTGTTCTCACCTCAGATTAACACAATTTATCCCACTGGCATTAAGGTAGTAGCAAAAAGACGACAATTTGAGTTAACAGGTAGTATTCAACCTCCCTTTAGAAAGATGCTACTTACGGTTTTTCCATGAGCTTTGCCACCACCACCACCCCGCCCCGTTCATCTCACTGGGATGTGGGCAGCACACCTGACAAGGCATGAGAATTTTGCTGGTCTTCCACAGTCACCCATGACCTTTTATGTTTGAAAAGTATGCATACTCCCCTTTTATAGCAACAGAGTTTACTTAGATAGCCGTTTACTTTCTACTTTCTTACTCTCTCTTCAAGGAAAAGATAAAAATACATTTTCTGAAATGAAGGTATAGGCTTGCAAAATTTTGGCATAATTGACATTTTTCAGCAGTGGGTTGAGGCCCAATTAAATGATTACTGATAATTACTTTGCAGTTAGATTACTATACTAGTTTTTAACTTTTTGACTTTTTATTTACTTATATCAAAACAAAAGAAAAAATTAGAAGGCTTTTCAAATTCCATTTCCCCATTTCTGTAATTTTTTAATTCAGCAGCTGTTTTTCTAATAATTTCAAATGATATAGAAAAATTATATCTTTTTCCACACACTTTAAGAATACTACATTTTCTGCGACTGAAGAGCAAAAATAGTCTTCTAATGGCAAAGGAATTGCAACAGCTATGAAATCAAATCCTGCTGTAGTTTCCACAATTATTTGGGTTTTCTTTTCTTAGAAGAGACAAAGAGAAATTATTTCTTGAAATAACAATGACATAATAGCTATACTAAAAAATTAAGCTTACACATAGGAATATAGGAATTCCTATGATTTTATTTGATGTTTAAGCGTTCTTTCCATTTAGGTATTTCTCCTTATTCTTTTTTAATAGAAAAAGAATATTCTCCTTTTTCTTTTTTAATAGAAAAAGAAAACTTTAATATACAAACAAATGCAAAATTTTTTCTCTCACTTTACACCAGTGTAAACGAGGAGTAATTGCAACAATGTCAAGTGAAACAGCTGTTGAGTAATGCTAAAGCATAACGTGATTAAGCACTTCATAAAACTATAGCTGTCATGATAGCATATCGCATGACATTCGGTCAAAATAAATCCTAGCAAAAATATTTACATAAGTTAGTCAAATAACACCTCGTCTATGAATAATTGGCTTTTCAGAAACATTTGAACATGTGAGAATGTTTGCTTTCTATGCCAAATGCTTTTTACTGAAAAACAAGTCCTCCCTTCCATCTTACCCTTCCTTTTGAAAAATCTTAACTGAAATGCAAGAATAGTGCCACAGGGAGATTGTAGCTGAGGTTCTTATAGATTAGCCTCTTTCTAACCAATAGGCCACATTCCCCTAGTAGACTAAGTCTCCAATGATGCATCATCTTCGTTCTTTAAGAAGAAAAATTGCAACGCATGGTAGGAAGCCCCAGGCCAGGGAGCTTATCCTATAAATGGAAAACGGGTAGGCGAGTACTTGATCTACGGGTCCAATGAGATATCACCTCTATAATTTCCAGAGAGAAATATTTTATTTTAATTGTTGAAAAGTCAATATTTTCTTGGTATAAAAATCTGTTGTTTGTATAATTAGTATTAAATGGCAGCTGAGAGATAAATCGTGAAAGCAAGCAAGATAACCAATGTTTTCTATTTTAAAGATCCTCAGAGGTCTTCTGGAGCGACACTTGCAGACATTATGGACTAAAAGGAGCTACCAAAGCTAAAATGTCCTGTCCTTCAGGGGTGCTGACACTTGTTATTCCTATTGGCCTGAGTAGGAATTTTGAGCTTATAGTACCTTTGAGCATCACGTAAGTTTTATTTAAGTAGTTACTTTTTAGGCACTCGAGTCTGAAGAAAAAAAATAATTGACTATTTAGTGTAATCTTATGAAAACGTGTTACTTGCAGCACTTTGCGTTCACGTCTTAGAAGCATGTCTGTGCTTAGAAAAGTAGCCTGGAATCTCCCGGAATCAATCTGAAGTGAAAGTTCCATAATGAACGTAGAATTTACTACAAGTGAATTAGCGGAAAAAGAAGTGCAAAGTAATTCCAGTATATCACTAGTGCATAAGTAAGCATTCCTTGTAAATAAGTCACTCATTTATAGAAACAGGATATAAATAAATGATGTTTGAGACTTCTTTCAAATACTTGAGTTCTTTATATGATACATTTTAGAACATTCCACAGCATCTAAAATATATAAAAATAAATATCTACAGTATTTACAAAGTATGATACAATCCAATCTTTAAAAAGACCTGTAAAGACATGTTCTTTAGCTCATACTGAGGTAAGTAGGTTTCTGTAAGACTGAGAAGAAATAGGAGAGGCAGTCGCTTTGAAGGAATCCCTTTGTCTGGTTGTTGTAGTCTGTAACACAGCTAAAAGCATGTGCAATTCTCTGGTGGTCTTACGTGTATTGAGCCAAAGTCATCCTTGCTGTAACTCCATTGAGGTAAGTTTAGTTATGCTAGGGACAAATCTGTCCCACTCTACATTCTCTGTGTTGGCAGTGTCTTCTGCAGAAACCCTCACAGCTTCATCTAAATTTGAAGTCATGTTCATCCCTGGTATGTGGAGATGCAGTTCCACTGATTTCAATGGGCTGAGTGTAGCTGGGATACCTGTAAGATAAAAAAAAAGACTTTAAGATGATTTTGCTGTTTGTATCAGGTAGCTGACTGGCTCACGCTGTGATTGTCACTCTCTGAACACTATGCAGGTGATGATCTATTAGCAAAATGATCTGCCAGAAAATGTTCCAAATTGCGCTTGCGAATTTTAAGCAAAGACTTCTTGACTGAAGTCTGAGGGGATTTTTGATGCATAAACCTTGATTTTCTTACTTTTAAACTTTTCTGATGTGTTCTACTACTTATTTAATATGCATTATTTGGTAAATTGCCCTGTGGTTCCTTATCCAGATGCCACTGTGACCAGCAGAGCACTACAGCTTCCTGTGTACAAGTCAATCACAGAATCATAGAATGGTTTGGGTTGGAAGAGACCTTTAAAGATCATCTAGTCCAACCCCCCTGCCTGAGCACAGGACAGGCAGGGAGAAGAGAATGATGACAAATAATCAATATAGAGTAAAAGGTCATCTCCAGCCACACTGTCACCTGGGTTTCATGGCTGTAACCTTGCTTGTGCCTTACATATAGGAATGGCAACACTACTGGAGAAAAGCAAGCTGAATTCAGGAAAAAAACATTCCTTCTATAAGGAAGTTATAGAAGTAAGTGAAAAGACCAGACTTCTTCAGAGGTAATTTATTTAATTCTTTTTAGATATATATTTTAGGAACAGGTTAGCCGTCCTTGGAGATACCAATTTCTCTGTTATCAATATATATCTTACATAGTCCCAGCCTATAGTGTCTGAGATAGTTTCTAGACAACCAATGTTCACATCCCTAGGAGAGGAGGGATGAATCCTGTATTTGCAGTCCTTTGCAAAGTCCTGCTGGGATATAAAATATACTGTAATGAGAAATATCAGATAATAAATTACATGCCATTTTCCATCTATTCACAAAGCTAGGGAATTGCACAATCATTTCAGTGTTTGCCCAGAACTGGGAAAGCTTGAACAACTTCTGCCTTTCATTTCAGACTATGTTCATTTGTTTATCAACCTGTATTGGAGAAAAATCAAGAGTGGCTTCCCAGCTGTTCCTGAATACACACAATAACCCAACGGGAAGGATAACAGAAAATGTGAGAAAAGAAATTAATGTGAATTTCTTACTTGATCAGTCCAACTCAGAGCAGAATGGATGGTAAGCAGATAATTTGAAACAGTCAAGGACATCCAGGTAGTTCAATATGTACACCCAATTTTGGTTATAATATTTGTTATAAAATAGACCACAACTTCGGAGAATTAGCTCTGAGTAGAATATAGCTGTTTATAAACACATTGCAACTCCAGGGAAAATTATTTTCACACTTTCAGGTACCTGTTCCTTATTTACTTAGTAAAAGAAGTAGGAATCCAAAGAAAATATTTATATACAATATGATTACCTTACCCCCTCCCATTATTTACTTAGGAGTCTAAAAGAAGTAGGAATCCAAAGAAAATATTTATATACAATATGATTACCTTACCCCCTCCCCAATTGCAACTCAACTTTTGAAATAAACAAGACGAAATTTTGTTTCATCAATATATAACCAAAGTTGTAGCATATTCTATAAAATATTTCTTGTAAGTTACTTTTCTTACAGTCAGTTCTTAATTGCAAACACCTTTCTCTCATTGCATCGTCCTCAGATTCAAATATTGTTGTACACACAATTAAATTTTACTTCCACACCATCAAAAGACATAGGGACAAGTATACTATCAGTGGGTAATAGGTGCAGTACCATTTGCTGGAATTGTGTTTATGTTGGTCAATACAACGTGTTCAGAAAGTTTTGAAATGTTATCAAAATTGCTGATCTGGGTGGTCAAGGATTTCCGACTCTCTGTACTGGCACGACCTCTGGCGAGCCGTTCATCATGCTGACTGCGAATGCCAAAGAAGCAACAAGAAAATGCTGCTTTAAATTCTTCTCTAAATTTCCCTGTCAACCACAAAAAAGACTCATGAAAAAATTGTACTATAAACCGTGTTTCAACAAACTTTATAGATTAGAAAAAAGCAGCTACCTAAAGCAAAACCAACCCAAAACACCCAGATGTTCTGCTAATGCAGAAGTAGGAAATCACAATTTCAACATCTTGGAGAAAGACAGAAAAAACATAACCTTTGTAAGAAGATATGTGAGGTATGGTATGAAACCTAAATTATTCTTGGCTAGACAGAATAGACAAACTACAATGATTTATGAAATCATGTCATGGAGAGTCTGCTGATTAACAACATATTTTAAAAAAACAAGTAATTGAGCAATCGTAGGCTTAAATGACTGAATCATTACTTGACACGTGAAATGAGAGGGCATGGCTAATTTGTATTTCATCTTGAATACATTTTAAAAGAAGATTCAAAGTGTTCGACAGCCCATTAGTCTGCTTTTGGGGGGCTCAGAGTAAATTGTTCAAATCATCCTCACACTACACACCACAAAAAAACTACAGTGGGGAAATGTGTAGTGAGGATCAACAGACTTTTGCCTCCCTGTATTTAGCTGCAATAGCACCACTTTAAGTCCTGATTCTGCTGTCCATAGCCAAATAAGACAAATACAAACTAAGACAAATCTATACTAGGAAGTAAACAGCATCCTGGCCAGTTCTTTGGCCCTGAACTTAGTTGGCACAGTCTGGTCATGCAAGTACGATTAAAGACTCACAGCCTCCAAAACCCAATACCTGCATATAAAATGCCAACTGGGGACAGCCCCTGGCCTGTGCTACCTCCCAGACAGTATCCAGGGATTTTTTAGGGGAATGGTAATTGTTTCAGACCAAAATCATGCCAGGGACTTCTCTACCAAAATAATGGCATGGACAGTCAAATTCAAGCACTTGGACTCGGGCCCTGGCACTGTTTAGTTTAGTTATAGGTAGATAGCCTGAAGGTAATGGGATACTTCAGGCAACTTGTTCCAAGAAGAGGATCTAGCTCCCACCGGAGGAGCTGGGCTGATGTTACACAGTCATTAATCTTATTTGCTATGGCTCATTACATTCAAACTATACATCAAACTTGAATTCTAGGTAACTGTAACTTACCACTGAGGAAGTTATAAATAATAGGATTGGCTGCACTGTTTGCATATACAAGCCAGTGTGAGAACGTGAACCAAGCGTATACAGTTTCTCTGTCATCAGCATGATTAAACATCCCAAAAACCCTACAGAAAAAGAAAAGCAAACCTGAAGGATGGCAAAATTAGAAACCATATAAAAGGATTTGGCAACTTCTAGCCTAATTTTATCTCTGATGACCTATTTGCAGTATCACAGAAAAGCTGACTCAACAGTGCTCGCTTTCTTGAGAGAATAAAGTCCTCGCCCCACCCCTCTGCCTCCTGTCTTGGTGGTTTAGCACAACAGAAACCATCAGTACTTTAGTTTGCAATGGTGCAGATGCATGACTTCTGTTAAGTAACCAAAGTCACCTGGTGTCAGATAAGTCACGAAAAGATGCTTTTGACCTATTCATGTCATTGAGGTTCCCAGCTCTAGGTCCACTCTCCAATAAACAGGGGCTCTGGAATTGGAAAGGCACTGAACTAGCCCTAAAACTGAGGCCACGGTAGCAGCTTCTGCCCTCCAGAGAAACCTGCTTTGCCCAGATTCCTTACACCTATCTTTTGCCATTTAAGTGAAAATCTAACTATGGGCCTACTCTGCTATTGCAGTCGAGGCAGCCTGCGTAATTCCTCTGTGGTTCAGACCGTAGGTGGCCTGAACTGCCTTCTAGAAATACTTCTTTCTCTCCACATTGCCTACTAAGGGACCTGAGGACGAAAAGTACTTAAATCAGGCCTCAGAAAAGTGCCAGAATTGAGTGGGATGTATTTAAGCCTTCATATCCAACTTGAAACTATTCCTTAAAAACTAAAATGTTCCTCAAACACCAATAAAAGGCTGGTTGTTTTTTAGGGTATTCAAATCTTCTGCTGTATGTCATTATTTATCGGTATTCCAGAGGTCTCATGAGATATAACTATACCAAAGCCTTAGCCTGTCAGGCACTGTACAAAAACCAGAGTGTAAACAATTATGTCTCAGATGAAAAGGAGAGAAAAGGGCAAATAAGTAAAACAAAGCTTCATAGGCAAACTAAAGGGTTAGCCTAAGGTCTCAAAATTGTACATGACGGGGCTTGGGTTTGAACCCAGCATTTCACAGTCCCTAGGGCCAAGCCACAACACGACACTCTCCTGCTAAACTTCAGCTGCTGCTTTAGGTAAATGCGCTTCCATGGGTCCATTTACAGCAAACAAGGTGTAATCCCATGTAAATGACAGGTTTTAATGAGGAGATAGGCTAGGTCATTTTCATGAGGAAGAGCTTGCTAATAAGGGTTCCACAGTCTGGCCTTTAGTTTAAATACTATGGATAGGTTAGATATATTTTTTTCTTGCAAGTGTATGATTATTTTCAATTTCTTTATCATGAAATAAGTAAGCTTCTCCTTCAAAAGCATCTGCCAGAAGAAGAGGAATTTAGTAACAGAGGATTTTTTTTTTGACAGAAAGCTTTACAAAGTGTTTATATTTTGGGATAAACTTTACCTTTTCAAGACATTGAGGATGCTAATTGGTAGATAGCAAAGTGCAAAAACCAGGAGGACAACCATTAGCATACGTGCTGTTTTCCTTCTTGCATGAATCTGTTTTATTTCAGCTGCCACAGCGCTAATCTTTGACTTTGTTGATTGTCCCAGCCCCCGGGGCTGTGCTGAGGACTGCAGAGGCTTCCATTTTTTCTGAACAACAGAAGAAGTTCCTGGGATCTAAAAAAGACAAAGTAAGGGGCACTTTGAAAAACTAGGAACTGTGGGTAGTTGTAACAAGAAAAGTAGAGATGTTGACATACACAATGTAAGCTTGCAGGGAGAAGTATTCTTTTTTATTAAATTAATTGATGTAGCTGGAAGAAACAAACCAGATTTCAGACACATTTGAAGGTCTGCATAAAAAATCACGTTTTATCCAAATATATCAACTGATGTTTTAAAATTGCCTTTACTTCCCAAATGCCTTGCCTCGCTTGCCTCTTTAGACTATCACACTTACCAACCCTACTACTGCAATTGTGTTGCTCTAAAGTTCTACACTAAATGTTTTATTATATGACAGAGTAGTTTATCCATTAATATGCTGCTAATTTAAGATACTAAACAGCTTTTCAGCATTGGAAAACAAGAATTTAAAGCCTACATAGTTTTAAGTGCCATAAAATTTCCAAATATGCAATCTAGATGACAACGAAGCAGCTAAAGAAATCACAGCTGAAGTGTGGATCTCCCTGCAAAGTTCTTCAAAACTGAATGTATATACAGTGATGAATAGAGGGGAATCATGGAAGAGTGCCAAGACACAGGAAGAATTAGGTTAGCCAAACACACCTTGCAACGGGTAGATGTAGCACCATGCTATTAAAAAAAAAAAAATCTTGGTTTTTGTTTTCTGTGCCCTCACATAAGCCAAGCCAAATAAAGCAATTTTGCTTCAGTTCTTCAAAATTATTTCCTGCCTGAAGCGAAATGTGAAAGACTACAGATGGCAAGGACTTTCTCAGAGAACTCTATTACAATGACATTTATAATGTTTTCAATGTTATACATTATGAAAACCTTTTTGGGTATAAATATAGTTTTTTTAATGCATAGTGCAATTGTCTGCAGGGTGACTAGTCTCATGAGTGTAAAATAATTCATGTTTAAAAGTAACTGAAAAATTCAAATTGTCTATTGTACCATTTTAAAAATTAGGGCTTATCCACACAAACTGACTAAAAAAAAATGAAATTTTGGATATTTATTTCAGAAAAAAAAAAGTAAGCTGAAAAGGGAATATTTGTTCTAAAATAAAAGCATGCATTTCAGAATTGTTCTAGAATAGCTATTATGTTGGTTTTTGGTTTTTTTTGTGAATAGCTTCCTTGCATAGACAAGCCCTTAATTTAGCATTTGTGTGCACCGTCAAACCTGATTTACAACTATTGGAATGTTTTGGCAAAGTTGTGTTGTAATGAACAGGAAATCAGTGAAGCAGAATGGGGGATACGTTATAACATTTATTTTTCACTAACATCTCTAGGGACATAAAGCAAAAAAACCCAACCTTGCACTTACCTCTACTGCAGGTTCCCACCCGTTCAGCTGAAATCAGCAGTATCAGTTTCATACATGGACACGTCTGTCCTATTGCAAGGGGTTTACCCTACTTAGCTGTGGGGTGTAGTACTGCAATGTGCCTTTGCCATGCACTACTGAGATGCTGACTCTGGCTTATCAGGGGTGCTTTGATATTCTGTTCTTCTAACTCTGAAGCAGAAGCTTTTCAGTCATACTGAGTTACCATATTGTAGCAAGAACTGGAGATGGAAGCAGGGAAATTCAGCCAAATCTCTCCCTCCTGATTATGCCAAAGATTCACTTGAAGAAACCAGTGACCAGCTTTCATTGTAGCTAGATGCAATTTAGATGAAGAGAAACATTATCTTGGCTCAAAATTGTGAATGGCTATTTCTACAGAAATGTTAGACATGACTGTGTACATGGTTTGTACCTGTGTGTGCAGGTAGAAGGGTCTTTTCTGGTATTTAAGCAATAAATAGCAAGAGGTGATCAAAGGTAGGACTGTATACAATGTACAATCTCACTGTACTATATATTATATTGCTAAATCTTCAGGAGTTTGTATTGAGAACCTTTCTAAAGAGTCCTATTTTCCTCAGTCTTTACCTGGCATGCACCTGGGCTTTGCTACTAATAGGCAATAATACAGCAAGAATTTTATCAGGAAAAAAAGAAAAAAAAGAGCAGCTATATACCCACAGATGCATAGTTGAACCAGTACCATCTAAGGAGCATAACACTTCAGAAGTGTGTGTGCGTGTGTGTGTGTGTATACAGAAACATTTACAAATATGCATTTATGTAAACACACATAAATGTATTACAAGTGATGGGATGAGAAGAAATGGCCTCAAGTTGCACCAGGGGAGGTTTAGATTGGATATTAGGAAAAATTTCTTCACGGAAAGGGTTGTCAAGCATTGGAACAGGCTGCCCAGGGAAGTGGTTGAGCCACCATCCCTGGAGGTATTTAAAAGACGTGTAGGTGAGGTGCTTAGGGACATGGTTTAGTGGTTGGCTTGGCAGTGTTAGGTTTATGGTTGGACTCGATGATCTTAAGGGTCTTTTCCAACCTAAATGATTCTATGATTATGTATGTACAAGTATACACATGCCAGCATAATGCACATATTTGCTCTTCAGTAATGAATCAGTTATAGAGATAATTGTGGAGAATTTGTGTAATTCCAATGATTCACTAAAAGCCCACTAGCTGTGTCCAAACAGGTACTAAAAGTTGCAGTTATTTTCTTATGCACCTTTCCTCTATCCCTTCAAATTATTATCAAGGGGTTTATAACCAGAGGAAATCTCTCCAAATGTAATAACGACTTGCAAAGATTGGAAGGGTATATTTCAGCTGCTAAAATGAAAATGGGTAGGGTTCCTAGTTACTAATATGAGTAGGCTTTACTGTCAATGCATTTGGACATCAGTAAATCGAAGCATACAGTATGGAACTTGATAACACAAATTACGTATCAACATTTTCATCAGAAGTCCATTCAGTCCTATTTATTTGTTCAGAAGTTACTTTTAATCTACTTAAAATCCGCAAGAGAACATAGCCTTCTAAGTCACTACTTCCTTGCTAATAATTAAAATAAATTACTCGAAATCCCTGGTATTCGTGGCATGATTGTTCTTGTCTTTACAAAGATGAATCATTAATTCAAAGACTGTAAAGCTTATATTCAAAGATCTGCTTGAAGGACACAATCAGTAATTTTAAGGGCTATTGCACAAAGTATGGTGACGACAGCTTGTAAATCTGTCTTACCTTTAGTCATCTGAAAATTTGCATGCATAACACACTCCATTTTAAAAAAGAACCTTTAGAAAAAGTGTAAGGCATAGAAAGCATCTACTGTTTGCTGTGTTTTTTCTATCACGTACATCTGGAAGGCTCATTGTACCTTGCAATAAGATCATTATATTTAACTGAAGTTCTGGTAAACAGCAGGATTTCTTAATTAAAACTACTATCAAATAATACATTTAGAGCACCGCATTCATTTGCTCTACATGACTGATTATGGCACACCTGTTGCACTTAGAAAAATGCCTGATGTCTGCAGCCAAGTCACAGTTGATAATAGATGTGCAGTGGTTTTAATTTCACTTAGTGCAGCCTCTTATACATAGTGCTATCATCTATGCTAGGAAAAGAGACATTTGTAATTTCACACCGTTGATAGCACTAAGCCTGTAGCAGTATTTGTCTTTTTGCCACTGGAAAAAAAAAGGATCATCCTAACCTTGTGAGCACACAAGATGTATAGGGAGAAGAAATATTGCGAAGAAGAAATAGGCCAGCTAATACAATCGGGGGGGAAAAAAACCCAGGTTGGTTTCCAGTCATTCAATTTCTGCTCTGAATCTGAACCAGCATTTTCAAGCTACGTACAGGTTAAGAACAATTGCTTTGCATTAACTTAATTAATGGACAGTTTGAGAGAATAGGTAGATTGTTAAGAAAGTACAGAAGAGAAGGTTAAGAAGGAATACGGTGATAAGGTCATTGGATGCTACAGGACAGGTAACTATTCAGCAGTGCAGAGCATCTTAGAGCTATGTTAGACTGAACTTAATTTCAAAACTAACTGAGCAAAGCCTTTGTTCTGGTGAAGAGTCCCCTCAAATTGTAAAGGTTAAATTTTACCTTCAAAATATCTTGTTATTTGATCTTGTAAGTGTAAGAAATTAAAAGCAAAAATAATAATTTAAAGATAAACAGCAAGATAAACAGCAACTCTGGTTTAACCTAATCTGATTACAAGTGAGAATAATTGCTATTATGATGTATGGATGATAACAAAAATGCCTTAAAGCAGATTCGTTTTTTCCTATATTTTCGTTATTTGCAAGAGATATGTTTTGTCAGTATAAGATTTGATTTTTCCGTTTAACATAGGTATATTTAATAATTTAAAGTCTGCTTGTGATTTCTCTGACAGATCAATTTGGACTGCATGAAAAATGCTCCAGGACAGCCTCAAATTTGGATGGTATCGGACATAATGGTGAGAAAGAAATGATTCATGCCCATATCTTTATGGAAATGTCAGCCATTGTTAGAGCCATTTGAGAGGACAGGAGATGGAATATCTTGCATCATGTCTTCAACGGGATGAGTTTATTGTCCTTTACAGAATGACAGGGCAGGGGGTAGTGGAGGACTACAGCTATAGATAAATGCCAGACAAAGCAGAAGACAGCAGAGAGAACCATAGACTGATGCATGACAGATTACAGTTCACGCCCAGAAAATGATTCTCAAGCTGACACCACTTCGAATTGTTGGAGGGGGAAAACGTTCCTGAAAATTCACATAATTTTTGACATTTTAATTCAAATGTTCTTTGTGTGCTTGCTTGCTTGGGGTTTTTTGTTTAGTATTTCTGTTTTCTTTCCTGTGTTTTTAATTTTAAGCTTGAAAAAACAGATGTTCATATTAGAAACCATGCCAACTATTTGTCAATAATTCACATGAAATGTTACTGATAACAGCCAGCTTCACATCAGGCAATTCCAGTCTCACAGTTCTGATGGTTGGACTTTCTAGTCCAACTTTTGTTCAGATTGGACCTGCTACGAACCTGAGACTTTGTAGAATGAAAAATAAAAATAAAAAATTGTACAGACTACTAACAAAATTAGAAGGCCAATCCCAACTTTTGACTGCTACAGGAGATTTTAGAGGTATAAATAAGGTCACCTAAGGTATTTTGGTAAGCATTTCAGATACAATGGGAGAGATCTTTCTTCTGCCTATAATCAATCTTTCTGTTGCCTTTTTCTTTATCTACCTCTAAGCCCTGCATGGACATGAGCAAGAAGGGGTTTACATTCAGCCTGACCGCCTTCATTTTTTAATGCATCTCAGTGCCTGTCCAAGGTGGCTGTAAGCCAGCAGTGTCACCGAACCTGGTAACAGTGCTGGGTGTAAAAATCCAAGTCCTAAGTGACAACATGGAGCATACAGAGAAGAAGGTTCTACATAGGAATCTGCAAATAGTCACAACGGCAAGCAAATAGAGCTAGTGACAAGTGACTTACCTGGCGACACCAGAGCTTTCGAAATATTTGCAAATAGGCCAACACCATAAGACACAGTGGTGCCATGTATGTTACCAGAAAAAAGCATGTGTGATACATTTTGGGGTAAACCTCAGCTGGAAAGAGAATTCAAATAGGAAAAGTGCATTTAAATATACATACATTTCAAAATCACTTTAAGCCAAATTATTCACATAGATATGCATGTGTTTTTCAAACATGATAGGTTATAATGGAAGATGTATCCAATAATATTATGGTCAGGATTGATTTTTTAATCACTTCTATATACATTCTGTTTCTATTATAAGCATGCTTTTATCCTAAGCATCTCTTATGTCACATTATTGCTTTCATATTACATTATTACTTTAGGTATGAAGTCTTAAGAAGTTTTGCTTTTCATTAAATCAGTGAAAGACAGAAAATTTCATTATCTAACAACAGCTAACTAATTATCCAACCTACCTCATCTTTGACGTATTTAACAGGTTTTGTAACTGTCTTTAGTTTTAATTCTGCAAAGACTACTATGTATCCCTGAGTAAATTGCAGTCTCTCACCTATAAACAGAGAATGTAGACTACAGCACACAGGATGCTGATGGGAGGAGAGACAGACATTTCTAATTCACTTTTTGGTAGCAGAATAAACGTGATTAAGACTCAGTGACTTATTATTATGATTACATTAAAAAAATAGAATTAATTCAGTCATGTGCTCTAAACTTAGGAAATTTCCAAGATTATTTTTGACTCAGCTTTAACAATAATGAGTTTGCTACCATTGTGTTCTAGTTTCCTGTGTATGTCTTTTCAAAAGACAACTTATGAATGTTATTTGCCAGAATAAACGTGATTAAGACTCAGTGACTTATTATTATGATTACATTAAAAAAATAGAATTAATTCAGTCATGTGCTCTAAACTTAGGAAATTTCCAAGATTATTTTTGACTCAGCTTTAACAATAATGAGTTTGCTACCATTGTGTTCTAGTTTCCTGTGTATGTCTTTTCAAAAGACAACTTATGAATGTTATTTGCTTAGAGACAAACATCTTACAGGTGTTATGAGTGTATTGTGTTTTAAGAATCTCGATCATAAGCTTCATCATTAGATTATAGCAGAATGTGCAGTGAGTGCCTGGAAAACTTGCTTTCACTTTTGTTACAACAAATGTAGTTTGGTATTACCAAATGTTGATATTAATTACAGCTACACATTTATGGATGGCCTCAGAAAAGGAATGAACTTTATAGAGAGTGACAATACGCAGCAGAACAGAAACTATGCACTCCATGAGCAGTTAGATTGCACGGTAATCCTAAGCATTGCATTTTGGCTAAAGAAGGAATGTTTATGTTAATTTCCAGAATTTCCAAATGTTTTAGGATGATAAGATCTGCAACTGAAACTGTATTGATTGTAGAATTAATTAAAAAAAAGAAAGAAAAAAAGAGTTTCACGAGATCAAAATGTTGGTGAGTCAAACTTATTTTCTGCCTCTTAAAGGGACTGAGATTGCAGACCCTATCAAACAAGAGGTCCCTTTGCATGCCAGGAGAATCCCTGAGAGTTTGATTAGACAGGGAGATACAAAGACTTGGCCCATAACTCTCATAGCAGGGAGGAGTACACCATCGTGTCAGCTCCAGGCTCACTCTCAAAGCCAGACTCGAGCAATACCACACTCAGTGTTGGGCCTGAAAGTGCCAGCTGGTTCACCAGTCAGCAAAAATCAGTATCAGGGAAACAGAAACTTGCTATAGCAAAATCCAGCCCGTGTTCATTGCTGGCAAAGGTAATAGAGACGTTGCCATTGACAGCTTTGATGGATCAGGGTTCAAAAAATTCAGATGAGCAGCATTTGGCTCCTTACTTGCTCTAAGATCCTCTAGTAAATCAACTTACCAACTCTTAAGTAGCAGCTGCAGCTACTAGCTCTTGTCAACGTCCCTGGGGGAGGCAGACCATTTGGGGCAGGTTTTGTATAATTGGTGATAACCTGGGTTTGTGTATTAACTGATGATCTCAAACTTGTTTTTGCATTCAGGAAAATGCAGCCTCACAGCAATCCTGTCAGCCAGGGAACTACCGACATGCATGCTTCACAGGTGGAGAGATTAAGGAGAAACTAGAGTAACGTGACTTACTGGGATCATGGGAGGTCAGAGCAGAAAGTACATTCTTTCTGCTCAGAAGGAGGTGCCACCTGCCTCATCAATGCTCTACAGGCAGCCAGGCCCCTTTCAGGTAGAAGGACGGTACATATTTAAAAGGCCATCTGGAGTTTATGGCTTCCAATTTAGCATTCCAAGTAAAGTGAAACATTAAATGAGCCTAGCTATCTACAAAGAACTGTCGGACCAGGTTGGAGGAAGATCCTAACACTTGCCTTTGAAGTTTAGCCACCTGGAAAGTGCCAGCTGCTAAACATCAAAGGAAACCTGTCCCTCCTCCACTCAGGGCAAGGCCCTTTGTAGAACTTTTCCCTAAGAAGCGTGACTCTGTTTAGCTTCTCAAGCCAAAGAAAAGCTTTAAAGCTGTTTTGACAGTCACAGAAGCAAGCAGGAGGAAGGGCTGGTTTGGGATACTGTTCATTTATCAAGTGAGTGAGTTCCAGGCTCCTTGAATGAGAACATCAATCAGTCTATGGTCCTGGTGATATATCAGCTGCCTGACTGGGACTGCTGAACCTCTTACTGCCAAGCAGAAGAGGAGATAACTGTCTTTGCCTTCCATGGTCACTTAATGGGCTTCAGGACAGCGGGGAGATCGTTCTTAGCTGGAGTAACTGTCTCTTTAAGAAGAAATTAATGATTCTCACATCACTGGCTGCTATTTTGCTGAAAAGAGAGAGAGGACAAAAAGCAAACAGGTGGTCACGGGGACTGGACTGCGGTGAGATCCACATAACAAGCTGCCTTCTGTCTGCTGCAGGGGTTATTACACAAATTTTAAACTTTTCTAAAGCTTCCTTCTCGGCACCGTGTTCCAGTCCCAGACTGTTGTTCAATGAAGCAAGGAGGCAGAGGACTGAAACTACAGCTTCTGGATTTTTACCAGAATTTTACTATATTTGTGTAAATACATATATACATACACATATACATATACAAACGTATACAAACCGAAAACAACCCAGACTCGAAAGGTTTTGATATGTCTAGCAAATTAAATATTCCCTTAAGCCACAGGTGCATAATGAAACTGGTACTCGTAACATCTTCCCTAAGAATAGGGAAAAACAACAAGACTATCAAGTTTGTTGAGCACCAGTACCGAGTTCCCAGGTTTCCTAGTCTCAGGAAGATACCTATGAGGTTTTGGAGTTACCAATATGAAGAAGCAATGCAGCTAAAAGAGTATACTTTTAGAATAAATCTTACTAAATAGAGATGTTAGGAAGTGGGTGTCCATAGTAGAGAAAATTTGCCCACACAACACAGTCCTCTCCAAGCTGTTCCAATGTCAGAGTACTTACAGTTAGCTAATACTAAAATGACATTTTCAAACCTGATATATTATGCTTGAATTATCAATTCATGATAACACCAAGCATAATTTTAGTATTAACAATATTCTGACTTCTTTCTGCATTAAAATGTCCCACAAGTTTTTTCTTAAATTACCAACACTTTGATAAACAGGATGTATAAACCTTCATGTAATAATGCAATTTCCAGCTATTTGTTTTCCAGAATTAAGACAATATGGTTTTGTACTATTTTATTAGTAGTCTAAGAGGAAATGAAACACAAAGTCTTCCCTTTGTTTCCATTCACCCATGTAGTTTTGGGAAAGGATTATCTCCATATTCTTTTTATCATTTGCAAAGGGGTTGGCTAATGCACTTTGGCTAACACTCTTTTTGTGAACAGCTCTAAGAGAATGTATTTAGCTGACTTGGACACATGGTGAACTCATTTTAATATACGTTTCTTTTATTTTGGCACTTTATCATCAAATTCAGCACACAGCAATTACAGACCATTATAGAACTGCGGCCAACACGGGCTCCTTAAGTGAGCCTGCGTAGGTCACATGTTGGATCCTTCTGCATTCCCAAATAAAATATTGTTATTAGACAGTACTCGAAATGAAAAACCCTCAGCCTAGAATTGGCAATGAATTTTATATTCAGGAACGCCAGAAGCAATTAAAAAGAAATTGAGCGCTGTTTTAGGCTGAACTATTGCTCCATTTGCAGTCACTGGCAACTCTCCAACAGCATGCTTGAAATCTTATTAGTCAGGGTGGCCACTATTTGTTCACCGTTAAGGAGCCCAAGTGTCACAGTGCTGATCAGACCTTTCTTCCAGACACTCATCAGACTTGTATGGATTTCAGCAGCCGGACCTAAGTCTGGGTAGGGTACAGTGCTGTATCCTGCTTTGGCATCTCTGACATTTTCCTGGACATGGATTCCCATTAGTCCTCTGTAGCACCTCATGTTTCAGTGGCCCTGAGCTCCCAGAATTAGAATAGACTTCCAAAACACTTTGGAAAGTGTCATTAAGCACCCCCTTTTTGTAGTCCCAACCTTGACCCTTCACAGTTTAACATCGTTGGGACGTACAGCGTACATGATGCTCTGCAAAGATTTCATCAGACATACCCTAATTTTAGACAGCACAAATTATATGCAGTTCTAAACAAAGCAGTAAACACCCAAATATAATCCATTTCCTCCAAATTGACTCTCCTATAGGATTTGCTCAGGGTCTTTTGTGTGTGTGCAGTATCTACATCTCCACTTTCTCTTTGCAAATATAGCTTATTTGTAGGAACATGAATTTCTTTCTCCTTCAACCTCCTCCTAGTTAGCTTTCTTTGACCCTCGATATTCCCATAGTCAAAAAAGGCAAAACAAAATCCAACAAAAATGCAACTATTTTCTTTGAAAATATTAGCTCTTTATTCTTTCTTCTGGCCTCAAGGCTCACCAGTCTTTTCAAACTGCTGCCCTGTTATCCATGTTCTTTTGTTCTTCTGTTTGGGGACCTTTGTGATTTCAAACCCTGGTTTTCAGTAGAAAAACTGCATCTTCTATGCTTTGGCCCAACTCAGTGTCCTTAGACATTTTTCAGTTGAATGGAAATTATTAGTAGCTAATGACGCTCTATTCTCCATAGTCTGAAAGGGATATTAAGGTGTATATATATATTATATTTTATACTCATTGATAATATATGGTTAACTCTACATTTACTAAGTCATTCCATGATTTGAGCAACCTACTTCTAACTTAATACATAGAAAGGTTCTTCTTTCAAGTTACTATGGTAAGCTATTATTAGAAAGTGGAGAGGATTATTTTTTATGGATAGCTGAAATGCACCAGCAGAATAACTAGCAATGATGGTGCATTATCATTAGAAAAATAATTCCTTAAAAAGGCAGCAGGATAAAAATTGGACTGTTACCTTTCAGTGGAATGAAAAGCTTCCCATTTCAGAAAACTTTAACGTATTTTTAATGTAAAATTATTTTCATTTCATGATCAATATAAATAAAAAAAAAACCCAACAAAATCATTTTAGAGCATTTGCACTTCATTTCCGAAGCCACACACAAAAATAACTTAATTCTATGCACATCTACTTGCCTTTGTTATACCCCTTTCTACCTCTCCAAACACCCAAATGAAGGCTCACAGCATAACCTGAAGACCAGTTGATTTCATTTTGGACAAATACCTCCATAGGAGTAGAGTCTTGCAAACACATGGGAGTTTTTTTTCTTTTGTATAATGGGTGCTTCAGCTCAGGCATATCTGTGGGCTGCAACTACTTCAGCACAGCACTGAACGAGAGGCACTCTTTAAAATAGTTCCGAGGCTACTACAGACTCTGTAGTTCAAAAGCAACACTTTCCTGTTGGGAATCAAGAAGTGGCCAATGCAGATCTGGAAATTTTGAGATTGCATTCCCTGATGAAATGCTCTCCTGACTCCCTAATTAATTAACTACGTCATTTTCATTTCCTAGGTTGATTAAAAGAATCTTTGCTGCAGATCTAACCTTGAAGTGATGAAGGCATGGATAATTAGTTCTGCAGCCAAAATGAGTGGACACAGATTGTACTAGGAGTGAACGCTGTGAAAGAAAAAAGTCACATAAATACTGCAGCATCCAGCAGCAGACGGGGATACAAAATCGTTCGCAGATGAAGAAAGAATACTAGAAGTAAAGAGCAGATGTGTCCTCTCCAATGTAACAGCAAGTACAATACTCATAGCTTAACAGAGACTTCCTCTAACCTACAAACTTTCAGCACATCTTTGTCTGCAGTGAGTGCCTGCTAGCTAATGGCCATCTCTGCCCCCTTGCCTTGTCCCAGAAGACTAACTGGGATGAAGGAGATAAAGAACAGGGAATGTGATAGCCAATGTCTTCTCATTAATCCCGTAGTGGCCCTGCGGAGGCTGTTAGCAGGGGAGGAACTTCCAAAACAGCACATGGAAGAGCCCTCAGCAGTTCAAGCTGCTTAAGCTAATTTATCATGATAATTAAGTACAGGTGATCCAGTTGTATTTTATCTTAATTGTTCACAGGACTGGAATCTTCTTCTACAGAGACAGCTCTGGGAGAGAATCTGATAGTGTTTTAGTCTGACTCGAGGCTATTAAACAGGCACCTTTTAGTTATATGTTTTGGCAAACCTGGCTTTATTTTCCTGTGTGTGAATAATGGTATTACTGATGGTCATTATATCCAGTGTCAGAGTCACAGCATGTAACTCATACACTCTATTAGCATTGGAGTTATGCCAAGGCCCACCAGAGTTGAGTCTTAACCATTTGGGTGGGTGGCTAACACCGCTTGCTGTGAACGGAGACAAAACACGAGTAGTTACTCCCTGACAACCCTTGTGGCTTCTCACAGCTGAATTCAAATACAGAACAAGTTAGATTCAAAGTTAATCTGGAAAGGCAGAATTACACTTCTTGGATAGAATCATTTGTAACTGATTACATTTACAAAGTTATTTAAATGATCTTGTCCATGGCAAATTTCAAATTGTAGACTAACTTGCTACCCCATATTGATGACGTCTCTGTAAATTCTGTAATGACATGCAATTTGGATTGAAGTCCCAGGAGATATCTATAAAGACTAGTCAAATATCAGCAATTAGCAAAAGCAATACATCAGGTAAAGAGAAATTCTGTTCTCGGGTAGTTATTATTTAAGGCTAAATACTGAAGTCTTTGTAAACCTGCAATGTCCATCGATCACAGAATTATATAAGCATAAGCATTTAAAGGTGGGAACATTTGTACCCTCTGGGAAACATTAACACGGTCAAGATGCAACCCAGCCTCATTCATTTAAACTTGGTTTCAAATGTACTTCAAGCCTTAGCAATACAAAAGAAAATAGGATTTCACAGTATTTGAAAAATGGTAGTTCTAGGAAAGCTTATATAATTAAGAACATTTTGTGATATGTTTATACAACTTGACTGCATATTAATATGTCCTGATATTTTTATTACTTAACAGCAGTACAAATTCAGTCTTTATGGTCAATGACACACTCACCTCCCCAGTGCTCATCACACACTGTGAACAAGGTGGTTTTATTGGCTAATCCTGGGAACACACTGCTGCACTCCATAACAATAGCCTGAGGAATCATTATGATGCAGGACACAATCCAGATAATTATAATGCTGTTCCTTGCTCGCTTGGCTGTGCTTTTAAACATCAAAGGGTGACAAATTGCATACCATCGATCCAAAGCAATGCAGCTGAGTGTTAGTACAGACACAGAGACTGAAACTGTCTAAAGAAAAGGAAATATTATGTAAATGTAAATGTAATTTTTTTCAAAGCTTTAAAAACTTATTGTAATTTTTTCCCAGTCTTAAAAATTATTTCTATTTTCAACAGTTAGCTCTTTATCTGCAATTATTAAATAGAAATTATTCCCAGAGAAAGACTTTTTAAAATCACTTCTTACAGAATTACAACAGATATCCTCATCTGCTGTAGTCCCGCTAGAATCAACAGGACAATTCACAGATTAGGGTTCTACCCAAACTGAGTAGGTGTAGCAGGGTCAGATTCTGAAAGAGCGAATTTATGCGACTTAGAATTTGCAAAACTTTATCTGAAAAACTACTTTTAAAACATTAAAAAAATAATTAATTTTTTTTTCTTTAGAACAATTTTGTTTGTTTGTTTTCTATGTTGCATTTGGATACCAGTATCTCATTTTGGCTTTTCAATTTTCACAGGAACAATGGAAATTCAGGATCTCATGAAAAAAAAACCAACAACAATCAGCTTAAGGCAGACTAAGTTATTATTACTATTACCTTCTATTCAGTATAGGAAATAACTTATCGTTTTGGTTTTACTCTTTCACTCTGTACACTAGGTGATCATTTTCATGTCTGTCTCTTCAAATTTTCTTCCACTAGAATGGAGGCTTTGAAAAAAATTCTGTGATTTTTATTGTATCGAGTAGAGGACACCCCTGCTGGAGAGCTGTTGTCCTTGACAATGTGGCTCTTCAGCCATACAGGAACCTGCTGAAAATATAAATAGTGCTGGAGGCACAGAGCTGATCACCTGCATACATTCAGAGTTCTGCTTAATTCTTTTGATTTATAATGACTGAAAGGCCAAGCACTTGTCATTCTAGTATGCCCAGTCAGTTCATCTAACCAGCTATTCTTAGAAAAGGTATTTGTCAATCATGTTGATGCAAATGATCTCATAACCAATTAAGTCCACTGGTAAATGAGTGGTAGCAATTAATGCTTCAGGCAGACAATCTGATCAGCTCCCAGTGAACCTGGATACTTTGACTGTTTCTAAAGAATGTGAAGTAAGTCACTAAACACATAAGAAAGCCCAGACTCCCTTCAGAAGTTCAGATTCTCTGTCCTGGACACTTGTGTAGCTCTTTAGGTCCACACACACATAGTATAAATGATTGTAATTCTATTTACAGACATTTTTATTGCATTATATCCCTTCTGAATTATTAAAAAAGATCACAGAAAGTGAAGAGTATCAGACAAATGTTCCAGAAAGTGTATTGCCCAAGTCTAACAATCAGATAGACCAAGAACAATATTTATTAAGCATAAACATATTCACAAGGGGAACAGTCCTTTAATCCTCAGCATGTACCCTGAGATATCTACTTCAGTGGCAGAGATAGACTTCCATCAGATTATCACTATTAGGAAGATGCTATTGTTTTTTCTCTTTTTCGTGACATGGGTAATGTGTACACAAGCACAGTAAAATAATACCTGTAAGTAAGGAATCACTTTGCAGAGGGACTGCCCAAAGAACCACGTTTCTGTGATGTCCACTACTAAAGTTGCTGGAAGACAAGTAATTGTGACCAGAATGTCAGCCAGAGAAAGATTCACTATGAAATAGTTGGTAACTGTCCGCATGTGATGATTCTTCCACACTGCAATGCAAACTGAATTTGGAAAGACAAGTTAGTAAGATGGAAAAGACTTAAGGAATGCTTCAACAGGAAAACACTTGGCTTTGCAGAATTAAGGAAATGTTTGTGTCCTTTGTTTAACACAGAATATTTGAATATGTAGTTCAGCGTAAGAACCATGTGTTTTCTTTTAGAGTGGAAACAAGAGGGTACATGTAGAGAGAATCTTAGTACACAAAGAATAGTTTTCCACAGACCACAGCATGGGAAATAATCTGATATATAAAGCAGCTTATTCTCCTGATAATTTATCTTCACTAACTATTCACACAACTTTCTTCATGTCTATTTTAATCCATTGGCTCTAGTCTATGGCAATACACATCTACATTTCTAAAAGTTTATCTTTTTCTTATGATAGCGTGATGCTTAACTCAAACTGCTACCACACAGAGTCTTGTGAACTGCACTGAGACAACAATCATTTTATAAAATATTTTGCTGGGCATAATATATTTGTTGCATCTACAGAGAATCTGTAACAGTTGTCTGGGTAAATGTGATCTGAGGTAAGTAAATAAAGGTAATTTTGGCAGTATTAAGCACCACCCATTTTAAATGCGGTGTATTTTTGATGGTGATTACTGTGATCAAAAGCAGCATGCAGCAGACACTTCATAAGATGCATCTTTAAAGCTTGTTTTATATGTCGTCTTCTCCCTCTTTTTCAATCTGAAAGGCTTTTAGAAATGAGGCAAATCAGTCCTTTAACATGGTTGCACTAAATTCATAAGCTAATACATTAAAAATGCCAAAATTGAGTCTGAGAAACTAGCCTAAAAATAAGCTTTTTAATAACTTTGGAAGTAAAACCCTGAGAGGTTGTAGCAATCAATAGCTTTTGAATGTTTTAGATTCAGTCACCAAAATCTCTTTAAAAACTGATGCACAAAATTTTCCAGAAACACCACAATAATTCTTGTAAGAAAACACTACAACTCATTGTACATCAAAGGTTCTTCTCCTGTAAACAATAATTCATCCATCAAGCAAATCTGGATGAAGATTCAAAGTCTCCTTAATCTGTCAGGATATAGCACTATGCTTAATTTAGATATATTAAACAGATCACAGAATGCTAAAGAATACAGTTAGAAGGGTCCTCAAGAGGTTGTCCAAATCTAAAATGGAATCAGCTAGAGTTAAGCCATTCTCTTATTAAACTAGCTAAAACAGATGGAAAAAAATACACAGACTTTAAGGCACATAAGCTCTTGAGATCAGATACTTCTTTAGATCCTAAGAAGGATGGTGTGCCTGAAAGCTTGTGTCCATCTTCCAGCTGCATCAGTTGATCTAATAAAATATATTACTTCATTCCACAAATCTTGTCTTGCTTAAGTCTCAAGACCAGCACAACTACAACAAGACTAACACTAAGCCATTGTTGCCAAGTTTACATTTTAAAATCTGTTATATTTGAAGGTATGATGCCTCTTTTAAATGTGTTGCAGTGTTAAACTATCTTCCCTATTAAAAAAAAAAAATCTTCTAATGTCTAATCTACCTTTCTTTTGCTGCTATTTATATCACTTTTTTCCCTGTACACAGGCAGCAATGAAGAAGAGTTTTTCTGTGCGGCAACGCTTCACATACGTAAAGAACGTTATTACATCTTTCCTCAGTTTTCTTTTAAGACTGTACAACTCCAGAACTCTTTATCTTTTACTGCTCGTCATTTTTAGAACTTCTGCAACCATCCTTGTTGCTGTTCTCTGGACACTCTTCAGACTGGATTCCACCTGTGTTGTCAGAGTGCAGTGACCAAAATCAGCAGAATACTCATTCAAGACCTTACTAGAGCTTTAGCAGGAGCTGAGATTGGAGCACTTCTTCATGAGGGCTATGTTTAGACATTTAGGGCTAATTTAGGACAAAGAGAGAGGGAGAGGCTAGGTAGCCTTCAGTTTCTCTAAAAGAAGGTGATTTTATCAACTACCTTTTTAGGATATGTCCTAAAGTCCTGCCTGACCAACCTCGTGGCCTTCTATGATGGAGTGACTACATCAGTGGACATGGGAAGGGCTACAGATGTCGTCTATCTGGACCTCTGTAGGGCCTTTGACACGGTCCCCCACAACATCCTTCTCTCTAAACTGGAGAGGTATGGATTTGATGGGTGGACTGTCCAGTGGGTGAGGAATTGGTTAGATGGTTGCATCCAGAGGGTAGTGGTCAACGGCTCAATGTCCAGATGGAGATTGGTGACGAGTGGTGTCCTGCAGGGGTCCGTATTGGGACCGGTACTGTTTAATATCTTCATCAATGCCATAGACAGTGGGATCAAGTGCACCCTCAGCAAGTTTGCAGACGACACCAAGCCGAGTGTTGCGGTCGACAT